GAGGAACCTACCCCTTCTCTGAACCTGGATAGCTTCTTACCCAGGGACTAGTGCCTTTCGCCCTGGGCAGGGACTCTTGCTCTGCATCCTCCGACGAAATAGGTGCTCCTGAGGGGAGTGAGTACGCCTTGCCCTCTGTGCTCCCCAGAACCGGCCACTCCGTTACGAATGCCTGCATTTACTTGTGGAATGAATGTTGGCTAAATAGGTTTTAAAAAGCAAGTCTGACCATGAAGAGAGAGAAAACAAACAAACAAAAGCACACCAGAGTCCTTCCTTTAACAATGAAAGTGTGTTAAGTCATCAAGCCCGTTCCCACACCTTTTGGCTTTGGCTGCCAGTAGCTTTAAGGTCCTTTGGTGTCCAACCGCTACACCACCGTCCAGGCAGGAGGACTGGGAATGCCAGAGACACACTTCCGTGGTCGGCAAGGCTCAGGGGAGGCCCCAGCGTCTTGTCCTGGTTGCTGGGGAGGTTGCAATCCAGCCTCCAGCTCCCCAGGCCTTCCCAGGGCCTGGCCCCTCCAGGGTGACCCTGCCTGCTGCTGCCCTGCGCAGGGCTTGTGTCTGCTCCCCCTTCCCGGAGTCCTCAAGTCTGTGAGCCCCCCGTGGGCAGGGACCCATGCGGGTCCGGGGCAGCCATCAGTGGGGTGGGGGGAGGCCACCGCTGCCTGGAAGCCACGAAGCCTCGTCGAGGAGGAAGCCGGCGGAGTTCTGGTATGGTTGCTGCAGCTGGTGTTGTGAATCAGGCCGACGAGCAGCGCATCCTCTTACCCGGCTATTTCACGACACCAGGGTTGCATCATACCCATCCTCTCCAGGGAGCCTCGTGGGACCAGCGCTCGGACTGGGGACGGAGTGGGGTGGGGAGTCTGTGTGGAAGAGTGTCCTCCAGCTCCACGGGGGAGCTTTCCAAAATGCTGACGTGGCCCCTCCACCCTCCGCCCAGGTTCATAGAAGCTCCCGCCGGGGCCCGGGAACCAGTATTTGTGGGGGTTGCCCCGTGAAGCTCAGATTTGTGTGCAGTCAGGGCTGAGCCCCAGGCTCCCCGAGGAGGCTGCTGTCCTTGCTGTCTGTTGCTGCAGCCCCTCCGGCCCTCCCTGGCCAGTCCTGTCTGCCTTGCCCTGCTCACCACAGCACCACAGACCCCAGCATAGAAGCTCCCGCCGGGGCCTGGGAACCAGCATTTGTGGGGGTTGCCCCGTGAAGCTCAGATCCGTGTGCAGTCAGGGCTGAGCCCCAGGCTCCCCGAGGAGGCTGCTGTCCTTGCTGTCTGTTGCTGCAGCCCCTCCGGCCCTCCCTGGCCAGTCCTGTCTGCCTTGCCCTGCTCACCACAGCACCACAGACCCCAGCAGCTTCCCGTAAACAGAAGGGATCCCACACCCCAGGGCCAC